AGTTATTCCTGTAGGTCACTCAAAGTAAAACTTCTGCAAAGGAAGTGCCAGGCTAAATCCTTTGGGATCTCCAGGATGTTGTGAGCCCGTGACTCTCTAAAATGGTTAGCAGAGCACAAGTTCTGCGTATGTTAGCAAACTTCAACCTTGGGGATGTGGTCAACCATCAAATAAGGTGGTGGGAACACCCAGAAAGGAGCCCATTTCGAAAGGGAGAGACTAATTGAATCGGGTCAATAGTAGGAGCTCTTTGTAACAAGATGCCAGGATAAGGGGGTCTGTGATATGGGTAAGAGATTAAAATAACTCTTACGTATCTTTCAGATTAGCTAATAAGATGGATTTTATTTACCAAAATGAACAGGTTACTCACTGGGTACACAAAGATTCTGAGCATAAAAAGGAACAGATGGGGCAAGTACTGGGTATAACAGATCAGCTGTTGCTGGAACATGAAGAGGTCTAAACAATTTTCTATTTCTTTTTTTTTTTTTTTTTAAAGAGGCGTGAATTAAGGGAGTATGATTTATTTGCTGTGGAATAGTTTGAAGATTTCCTGGAATGGGTTGAGGAATGTCTAGCTACAGGAAAACTCTTTTCCTTGTCTGTAGTACAGCTGTCACTGTGGGACTCCTTACACCATGGTCTGCTCCTTTCCACACCTTTCCTTTGAGCAAAATACTTGACTTGGTGTTCTTCAGGGAGGAAGGACTCAGCTGTCCTCTGAGGCTCTTCCCGAGATAGAAATCTTGAGTCATGCAGGTTGGTGTTACACCATTGCTACTCTTACTCCCTCTGCTCTTTAACAAACAAGACGACCTCAGCAGCTGTCTCGCAGCTGAAGAATTATTTAATACAGTTTTAATACAGCTGCCTTCTGAAACCTTAGTTGCTCCTCAGTTTTGCCCTTTTATCTTAGAAGTTAATGTTGGAATTCCTTGTGCTCTGTTACTGAGTGATTGACATGGCTACGTAGCGCACAGTGTGTAAGGGACATCTTGATGAAGGTTCTTGAGTGCTTCCTGTGCGTAGCTAACTTTGTTCCATATGAATGAAGATGGTCTAGGAAGCATCTGTCTTGCGAAGCTGGTCAACACATGAATATGCTTCAGGATTTGCTTTCTACCCTCGGGCAGAATCTGTGCAGTATACTTATTTTCCTTTTGCCGTAGTTAACTCTGTAAGCTCTAGTTCCAACTGGGAGTCTGGGAACTGGGGTAGCTGGGCTGCTCTAACACCAGCAACGGGAAGCGGAGGAAGGGCCCCTGGTGCAGTTCCAGGGGCCGTGTGGCTGTGCCTCCCCCCTGCCGGGGCTGCTGCGGGCTCCCCGTTGCGCTGCGGTGCTCTGGGGTCGGGCAGACACTTATTTGCCATGCCTGAGATACCAGTTCTGTACTTGCTACAAAAATGCAAAATGGTTTTTATTAGTTACGCTGATTTTTTTTTTTTTTTAATACATAGTTTCTGCATTCCCTATTTAGTTAAATATAGCCAAGAAAATGTCCTGCTGATAAGTCTGCACAACCACATTGTTATTTTTCCCCAGAAATTAGATTACTTTAGTGCCCTAGTTCCTGTGTAGGTCTGAAATAGAGACATTGTCAATGCTATTTTACGGCAACTATCTCATAAAGTGCTACCACATTAATATGGACCAAGAAAAGCATGATGTGAAGCCATCAGTTGCTTGTGGTGGAATATTCGTATCTTGGAGGATGATCTGGGTGGGATTAGCCTTGATTTGGGTTTCAGAATTCCTAACTGGTTCCCTAACTCCACTCACACGGCAGCTCCTGGTGTCACTGGCACTTGGGAGATGTTTGCTCTGTTAATTGAAGTGCAGTAGTTTAGATCTAAGGACTGAATATCTCAGTAGAACAAGGTCTAAATGATTTTTGAGCTATCTAAATACTGTTTATAAGCTTGCTCTGACTACGAACTGATGATTATGGCCATAAGTGTTTCTGTGTGGTCTGGTGTTGGCTGTAGATGGTTACTGGGTTTGGATCGTGCAGGGCAGGGGATGCGAAATATTAAAGGGCCTCTCTCTAAACTAGTCAGGCAATAGTTTCCATTAGAGTGGGAGGACAGCAATGACTTGCTATTTGGACAGACCCTAAATTAAGCTGGCAAGAGGAAATGCTCCTAAAAGGCCACTCGTGTTCCTGAAGCTAAAATAGCAGGAATGTTTAATCTGAAGTGAACGTGTGAAAATTGTGAGCTGATAGTTCAGTTTACGGACTGTAATCTGCTGCTAACAAGCATCTGGAGTGAAGTTAAAAAGAGATTTTCCTAAATGCCATTTAAATAAACCTTCAAGCTCTTGATGGGAAGCCTTGCTGTGCTGGCGTTGGTGCAGAACCAAATATGACACTACGAACGTGAAGGACTTGTGACATCTGCAAAGTCTGATTCAGCCCAACCTGGCATGCCTGCTGTGAAGAACAGGAGTTGGATTTCTCCTTTAGCGTCTGGTGTGTTCACTCCAGCCTTTGCTTGCTTATTCTCAAAATTATCGGATGTTCTGTCACTATTTTCTGACCGTAGTTTTGATTCTTGCGTTTCCCAGTAGCATCCTGAAGCAGCTTGTTGAAAACTTTAAATATTAGTTTTCTTCCTTATGCTAAATTAAATTTTCAGAAGAAAAGGATGAAATGTTCATAGCTCCAAATTGATTTTTTTGAGATCGACTGACCTAAAAGTCATCATTTAACTTTGAAGTTGAAAGCAGGGGAGGACGTGGTTGAGAAGATGGCTATTTAAGGGCCCTATTTCTTCCTTCAGAGAGACTGGCCAATGCAAAGATAAAACTTCTGGAAGTGACTTACTTGCCAGATTGAGACTCAGTGAAGGGTAACGCGGTCAGTTCTGTGCAGATCTGTGCAATGGTGTGTCTTGAAAATAGGCAAGAACTCCATTTGAAAGAGACTTTTTTAACAAGACCCTTTCACTTAAGTATAAAGATGGCTTTTTAAAATGACCCCAATCCATCCAACTGTGACCCAGCACAGAGGGTTAAGAGCTCCAAACCTTTCACCTCTAGATTTGCATTAAGGGGTAATTCTTCAGGGCCTTTATCTAAACCAACAAAAACTGCACTTGCTGCTTGAAGTCTGACCTTTTATTGTTAAAGAAAAAAAAGAATAGTTCTAACTGAATTAGTTTCCATAATATACTTGCATGCAATTACAGAAACAACAATATCAGTGTGATACCATTGTTTATAAAGAATGTGAAATATTGCCTTAGCCAGGCTTGGGCCCGTAGGTATGTGTCGGTGGCCGTATACTGCTGACAAAGAATTTCCTGTAGTTCAAGGAGTAGGAGCCTTTGTTTTTTTGGAACAAGAGGAGCTGTGTTCCGCCGTCGCCATGTAAGTCAGCGACCCCGGGCTGCTGCGCGGTGGCTGCTCGGGTCAGCCCTTCATTAACCAGCACGTACAAATGCCCATTGTGTTTTCTTGTGTCTGTGCCTCTCTACGGATGCGGTTCTGTATCTGCAGCTCTATTTCTAATTTTCTCCTAACGTAGCTTTGTGGTTCTTGTCTAGTACAGTGAGGACTGGGTGTAAAACGATGGCTCGCTTTACCTAAGATCCTTCATGTCCTTTTGTTTGGATTAATTTGTTGTTGGAACTCTGAATTTGTTGCTTCCATGTCCTTGTTCTTCTACGAATTCTCAACCAGACACTGCTACGTTGGCTTGCCGGACTCCTGAGAGTAAATCTTTCCTAAACAGGGAGAGTCTCCACACAGATTGCGCATCTAATAGCGAGTGTAATACAGATCGGCATCAAATTGCTCTGTGCTTCCAAACGTACACCAAAATTAAAGGAAGCTGTGCTACCGTAGCAGGAATTCTAAATATGCCAATTTAGATACTAATGGCCCTTTATGGGTTTGTTTTTTACAGTTTGTACCAGGCAATTTCTGCAAATGGCTAAAATGTACGACTAGGGCTTTTGGTACCTTTGCTGCTTTGATAGCATTGTGCATACGGAACGCTGACTAGCACTGCCCTGAAAGAAAGTTTCAGAAATGCACCTTCTGTCAGTCAGAAGTGGTGGGGTTTGCTCCCTTAGACAGCTCTCTGTAAATTCACATCAGTATTTGTTGGCTGTTGTTCCTAATAATAACTTCAAAAGGATGAAATGTGGAAAAGTAAATAATTGTTTCTGTGGGTGTATTTGTTACGCCAACCTGAAAGCTTTAGCTGCAGAGCAGATGAATCAGCTCAGGTACATTTTCAGTTTACTGCCAGGAAGTTAAATTGAATGCTGAGATACAAATCAGGAGACAAAGATGAATGGTGATTCTTTCTACTTTGTTTCCAGTTTATAGTTTATAATGTGTATGTGTGTACATTACTATAGTTTTTTCATGTAAGCATTATTAGAACTTCACCTTCCAGCACAAATCCCAGGGCTAGAGTGGGTTTGTTGGTATTAGCAAGGTTTGCTGAGGACATAAACACGTTGCAGGACCCTATCAAAGGGATCAAAAGCATCACTGAAATATACATCAGAGATTATGTAAAACCCTAATCTCCATAGGGGAGGCTGGGTGGGGTCCAACCCAAGAACTGAATTCGCTTGCGTCATTTGTCTTTCTACTCCTGTGGATATGTAATTAACTCATGGATCTGGGGCAAGGCAGAAATCAATGTAAGATCGTGTTTTTGCTGGCCAGGTACTGTTTGTTGTGTGAGGTTTTTTTTTGTTTGTTTGTTTTTTGTTTTTTTTTTTAAAAGTTTCTGATAAAACATCACATGACATGTAATCTTGGTGCAGTAAAACCTGATTTAGATGATCTAGCTGTTTGTTTCTGTACTGGTGTGGGGGTTTTGTAAATACCTGGGAATTATTGAGTGCTAAAGCAAATGTTTCCTACTGTGTTATGGCACAGGAGGCACACAGTTGTCAACATCAAACTCTGAGTAAACTTACGAGGTCTCTAACTAAAATGTTATTTTCTCTTTCTTCTTCCCCACATCACTTTTCAGGTTGCAAAGGTGCTAAAGCATGGCTGACCTGGATCACAACCTCAGTCTTGCGGATGCTCTGACAGAGCCACCTCCCGAGATTGAGGAAGAAGTGAAAAGGGACTTCATTGCCACCCTGGAAGCAGAGAAATTTGATGATGTGGTTGGAGAAACAGTAGATAAAACAGACTATGTTCCTCTGCTGGATGATGATGATGATGATGCAAAAGCTGGGAGCCAGGAACCAAAAAGCAAACCCCATGCAAGCGGTATTCAGGTGGAACGTAAGTGTCTAAAGCACAAGACCAAAAAGCTGCATCACTTAAGCATCAGAGAACGCTTTTGTTTGTTGTGATATTGCTAGGCCTGCTAAAACAGGACTCTTCTGTGTTGCTGGTTTTAGTCTGAACAATTCATTTTAAAAGCAAAGACTGCCATCAAATCCTGTTTCTTGCTTTTTCTACTCTACCTTCTGTTCATTTCTTCAGCCTGTAAAATAAGCTATCATTACTCGTCTGCAGAAGACGCTATTATTTATTTTAGTATCTTGTGGGCTGCCTTGGGCTTCTCAGAGAAAACACCGTTCAGAGTGGGTGCCTGCTACATTTACACATACAGTGCTTTCCATCTCAAAATATTAGAACTGTGCAAGATACTACCACTCTGGGTAACAGCAAATCCAAGGGGTAAAGATCGCTGACGTGCTGTTGCTGGTGAGGTCTGCAGATCGGCATCTTCGTAACGTCCACACTGTGAGCTTCAGACTCAAATGTTTAACAGCTAAAGCTTTGTTTCTCCACTGATCCAAGGGTCTACTTATTTTGATTTCTTGCTGCATGTATATGCTGGTTATGGGCACCTACAGTAAAATGTGGCGCTGTCGCTGCTGGATAGGAACATTTATTAACCCAGGTGATTTTTATTAGTGTTAAAAGCTTTATCAGAGACTACTTAGAAAAAGGAGAGGTTTAAACAGATGCTTGCTTCCCTATCTGACTAAAAAAAAAAAAAAAAAAAGGTGAGATTTGGGGGTTATCCGTTAGGTTTCTTTCTCAGTAAACAATTTAAATTCTACCTTTGCCCGTGGTGTTCCCCCCAGCCAAGTGGGGCTAGTCACCTGTGACACAGAGTGCCTTGATTATTTGTTGGCCTTGATCTCTGATACGTGAAAGAAGAAAACCTTTGCTCCTCTAGACAGGTAACTTGGTGACTTCTTTCAGAAGAAAGTGTTCCTTTTTTTTTGCCTTAATCCCGATGCTCATCAGTGCTGAGGAAAGTGGGATGTGCGGAAGAACTGTAATGATCAGCCAGCAGAATAAACAGGACCTGCAGGACTACAGAATGGGGGTTTATACAATGGGGATTTCTGGTCTGTTTAAGGCATTTATTTACATTGTTTAGCAGCGTATCAAGTGCCTTGTGATACAGAAAATGTAATTTTGAATTTTCCATACTAACAGAGTTCATTAAATGGTAACAAATGAGTAGGAAGGATGGAAGTGGGCAAAGAGATTCTAAAACTTGGAGCTTTGGTCAATTCAGATGTGTATTATTGTATTAAATTATAGTACCTCTAATGGGGAGTGTTTTAGTATTACAGAAGTGGGAGTAACAGAGAAACATGAAGACTTGTTAACGCTTTAGCACATGGTTTAAGGATGTTTTAGGTTTAAGGACGTTTTAAAATAATGCTTTGTTCTAGAAGTTACAAATTCTAAAACATCTCAGCACCAGAATTTCCCAATATTATAAGCATTATATAATATTGTTTTAAAATAGAAGTTCCTTAGGTTGTGTCCTTCCAGACGTGTATTGCTTGAACATTACCATCATAACTCACTATCTCAAATAACTTTGGATTCTTGAAGCAGGTATAATGAGGCCTTTCGGGTTTGCTCAGTAATTAAAGCTCATTGAACTGCCCTGTGAGGGACTGCCCGTTCCTGTGCGCAGAACTGGGGCAGAGATACCCGAGTGCTGACACAGGTTACTCTGGGGCCAGGCTCTGCGTCTGCATCTCCGGCTTTTCTAACTCCCCTTCCCCTCCCCAGTGCTTCCCTGGCTGCCCAACCAGTTGTTCGTCTGCTTCAGCACAACTCCTACGTGGCTGGGGGGGATGCAATGCCTTGTTCTTGGTTTAGAGATTCGTTTTTCCCTTTTTTGGGATAGCTGGCGAAGAGTTACGAGCATTATCTAAATCTTTGGCAAGATGAAATCAAGACCCTAACTGAAGAAATCGGAGAGCTTGCTTGCCTTGAGTGGATAATGTTTTTCAGCTTTCCCACCTTGTACAAGGAGGCGAAGGACTGTCAAGCTCTGCAGTTTAAAATACTGTCAATTTACTACAGGCCAGTCTTAGGATTTGATCCTGTTAGGTCTTCACTTGTCTGATCTGTTTTTCCCTGAAGTGATAAGGATACCTATTTCTTCCATGAGATTTATTAAATGTTTATAACTTTTTTTTTTTTTAAGTAAAGCTTAATGTACTTGTTTTTATTGAGACTATAGAATAAACGAGCCTGGGTGAGATATTACAAGGTTCTAATGGGGGTGTTAAGTGATGTAGTACAGTGCTTTGAGTGTGATGTGAAGTTTTTGGGGAAGGGGAACTATATGTGGGAGGCAGCAAGAGTTCTGTGTCCCTGGATCCAAATATGACTGCAAATAGCTTTGTTTTCCTGAGGGAGAAGAGTAGCTTTCATGGATCAGGCTTTTCAGCCCCTGCTTGTTAATTTATTTATGTTAAAAGGCACAAATGTGTTCAGACAGCACAGTCTCTGCTACTGAGATTGCCTTTCCCCAGTCAGAAGAGGTTTAATCAGACGTCCCGTCAGGCTCTAGCTGTTCCATCTCTGCTCGAGGTTTTTCTTTCACTTTTTTTCCTGAACCCAGAAGCCAGATCAGACAAGTTTAACGATCAGATGGGCCCCCATCATGGACCTGGGTTAAGCTTGTGAGTACAGAGGGATGGAAGAGGGAGATGTGATGAGCAGTTATATGGTCACCTACAAATTTGTCCTAGAATAAACCTCTAATAACAGTTAACTTTTAAAATATCCTTGGGAAGGCACATCTTAAGAAGAAAGGGTTTTACTCTATCTAGCACCTGGCTGGACATGATAATTTGGCAAATTCTGGGATAATCCTCTTATAACATTGTGGGCTTTACATAACGCTGAAGGATCGCTTTGGGTGTGTGCTCCGCTGTTTGCAGCTGGATTTCCTTATCACCTCTAAGGCTTCGAGGAATTTAGAGGGTACTGTGGAGCTTCTAATTCAAGTCACGGAGGCTGCAGTGGCAGTTTTCATTAGGGTGCTCGTGTGGAGTACGGGATACGCATCCTAAAGTGCGGAGGAAGAGATGTTTGGGTGGGAGCAGCTTCCAACTGAAAGGAAACTACTGTGCTTTAACAGCTTCCCGCAGGCAGCAGTGCTCCTGAGGTGGTTTAGTTCAAGTGAGGGCTGATACTGTTTCTGAAATGTTTGATTGTGTTATCCTTGAGGAATTGTGTACAAAGCTAGGTCTGCAGCATAGCTGTTGGTGGCCTCGCACACAGTGAGTGCATGTTTTGCATTCTTGCACTCACTCTTTGCAAACTTGGTGATGCGTCTGAACTTCGTCTGCAGATTTGTAGCAGGGAAACAAACCCTGGGCATGATGTCAGTGACAAAGTTCTTTTAATTTGCTGTGGGCAGTGGCTTTGGGGCTTTTTTCAAGCATGTGTGTCACCACGAGATGGCTCTGCTGGCGCTGCGGGATGCTGCCGGACAGGCAGTGCTGCGCAGAGCAGGCCATCCTCCCTGCTACGGGAACAAAACAGCTCCCCAGCCTCAAACCCAAGGCCAAACCACCACGTTTCCCTTTCTTCTTACCTCCCTTTCTGCACTAGGAGCAAGCGCCTTTCTTGTGGAAGGCAGCAGCAGGCTTTGCTTTTGCAAAAGGAACTTTAAACACTTTGTCACATACGAAACTGAAGATGGAGAAGGTTCCATATACCCCAGAGTTTCAGGGGGATTAAAAAAGAGCAGTGAATGATGTTAAGACGCTTGCATTTTTATCTCATACAATACATTAAACACCTTCTCCCTCTCAAAGTCTGTCCATCCCCGTTCCTGCCCCAAAGTTGTTAAAACTTTTGGTTAGTAAAAATACCTATATTGTCGTTTTGTACAAAACCAAGTATTGAGTGTGATCTGAGTGCAGTCTCAGATCTGTCAGACGCTTGCAAAATAAATAGTAAAAATAGTTCAGAGACACCCAGGTGCTACCAGAGGTGCAACCTAAACTGGGTGTTGGTGTGCTCTGCCCCGGATTTCAGCTGCTTTCCCAGCATCTCGGGGCCTGGCTGCAGAACCTGCGGGTCCCTTCCAGCACGGGGCCTTGTACCAGTAGTCTGCCAGGGGCATATTTCAGTGTGAGGGGTGTTTTTTGTGCTTTTTGTTTAAAGTGCAGGTTGTATCATAAAGCTGCCTGGATCTTGGGTGTAACTGCTTAACTACATAATATACCTCTATTTTCTCAAGGAGGAGGGAGTGTCTTAAGTATTGTCTTCATAAGCCAAAGTGTTCTTGAACCTTTTTCCGTGCTTTATGAACTAAAGTGGTGAAGTTAATCTAGTTGTTCACAAAGCTTTTTCTAGCCCAGTTGCTTCGCGCTGATTTAGCGCCGTCTGAGCGTACGCGCGTGCTGCTGAAAGCCCTCGCACCCCCGAAACACAGAACCGAGCAAGCCTCGGCTGCCATTTAAATACAGAGTCACTTTAATTCTCATGGTTGGAGAGAGAAGCTTGGGAATCTACACCAAGTGTTTATGCCATATTGGGATGCCAAAGGGCAAGCAAAACTCTTAAGCCTTTTTTTTGGTGACTCTGGGAGGTGATGAGCTTGACTGTTCTGCCTCAAAATGGCTTCGGAACAATATTTAAATACATGAACTGAAATAGCCTCAGTGACTTGTTTAAGAGCTCCCAGTTGGTTTTGACTGCATGTCACTCTGTTTATCAGCATTTTTGTTTGCACTTATGGTTGTTTGTGTTTTTTTGTCTCAGCTCTCTGCCAAGAGCTCTTTTTTTCTCTTTGCCCTCTGGTACGCCATGCCTACTGCAGAGCAGGCTGCAGGCCGCGTGGTGGAAACGTGCTCGGCTGTGGTTGTGCTTCCACGTGCACTCCACCAAGTCACCGCTGGAGATGAGAGGTTTTTATATTGGCACTGTCCGTTTGCTTGAGATTATCGGTTTAGTGAATGCTGCCTTAAATTTGTTTATATAAAAACAATCCTTTGATCCACCAGCCAGATGCAAATACTATCTTGTGATTTTGATGAGGATTATGTAGTTACAACATCTTCACCTGTTTCCATTTTTATGCAATTTAGAATATGAGGGGAGGAGGTCTGGCCCTGAGAAGATTGCCGGGTAATTTCACACTGTGCTCTGGCTAACTAGAATAAGTCTGATTTGCTCCAAAGGAGGTGACTTTTTGAGACATAGAAATTACTAATGCTGGGTGGAATTGTTTTGAGTTGACCTGATTTTCTGGAAGCTTGTCTTCCGAAAAAGCTAAAACTGACAACTTTACCCGCTTTTCATCCTTTCCCAGAAGGAAAGACATGGCATTTCTGATCCTTCTGCTCATTTGGGAACTCACTGTTGAGCACAAAATCCTCTTTAGATTTCACTTGGTTAGGTGATGGATTTGGAGAGACCCTGGCTTGGCTGAGCACAGGGTGCACCTGCGACGGTGTCCTGCTCACGCCGGTGTGTTTGCAGAGCTTTTTGAGAAAGGTAGAAGCTATTGCCTGTATCAGACCCGCTTGCGGGTTCCTCTGTCGTTCTGGTAACAGAGTTTTTTAGATCACTTCCCCCCTTTGACAGCAGAGAAGCTGCCTTCTGCCAGTAGCAGGGTGCGCGCAGAGAGCAGCTACTGTGGTTGCTGCTCAGCGTGTGGAGAGGAGGGCTGCTTCCTTTGCCCTCATCCCTGTGCCCTTTGAAGCAAATGCAGGATTTTCAATACATATGTCCTGTCTTTTTTTCAAACGAGTGAATACATGGGACTGAATAAGATGAAGCTTCTGGAGGAACGTATGTGTGCTTTGTAGTCCAGAGGCTGCACAGGCTTGAGAGCCCCATCAGCTCCGTGGAAGGTTAATCCAGAAACACAGCTGGCTTTGAGCTGCCCTCCTCCTCATCCACCACAGAATTTGGTAGGCTTGACTAATATTTTGGTAGGGTTTTTTTTTTTGTTTCATTTTAAGTTTGCAGAGCCCTTGGTAGGGGAGGGTGAGGTGTCCTGGCTTTTCTTTTTGATACAAGACAGTTGGCTTGTATCACTTGCTACCTAGGAGATCAGTCTCAAAGTGAAACTTTTCTATGGACAAAGCGTTTATTTTTTTGAATAGCTGAAATGCACTGAATTGCCAGGAGCACCACTGAGTGCACTGTGTGCAGGGCAAAGCTGGCCTCAGCTGCACACAACTGCTCATTCCAAGTGCTACCAGACCAGTCTTACAAATGAACATTTTTTTCAGCCTGAAGCCACTGCTCTGTGTATGCACACAGACTTGCAGGCCAAATTTGTAGTGTTTAGCCGTATTTATGATCAAGCTGAGTCCTGTTTTTAATGCCTGAATAATGGCGGTAGCATCAAGATCAGAATATGAAACGTTTCAACAGCGGTATTGTCTGTGCAGGGTGTAATGATCAGGTTCGGGTGAAACCGAAAGCGGTATGTGATCGTTTTGTCCGATTTCAAACAGAACTTGCACTCAGGTTTTCCACTGCAGTTGAAATACTGAAAAAACAGCAGTGAGTTTGTGGGTTGTGGCAGTGGGGGGTTGCTGTTTATTTTCCCCACCACCAAAAGATTTTTTTTTTTGACATGTTTAGCATGAGTTGAAGACTAGAGAAGACTTGCAAAGTCTACAGGGGCATCGTTAGCTGCCTTCTTTAAACCAGTGTTATGATGCCCTTTTGAGCAGGACTTAAACTCCTAGCACTTGTGCTTGGGCTACGCAGTAGCTTCCTCGCTGTGAACTGGGAGGTTCAGCAGGACCTGTGTAGCTCCACTACGTCATTCCTCGGAGATCTCGCTGTAAAACCCCGCTGCTCCACGAGATACCCAGTGTACTTGTTGGCAACTGTGAAGCAGTGTTGGATAAACCATCCCGTGACCCTGACTTCTTGCTAGACCCGATCGGTAAATTCGGTGACTGGCAGTAGTTCTCCTAGTTAAGTCAGTTCTATTGTTACAGTAAATACCAGACCTTGTAAAGACTGACAGCAGGAGGAGCTGGTGTGTTTAACTGCTAAGAAACAGGTCCAGGGATTCCTGTAGTATTTTCAGCTACTTGAAGAGGATGTAGGTGTATGTTTTTCTGTAAGCTGTCTGGCAAGTTCATGTTGAATTTCCATAAAACACTAGGATGAGCCACTGAAGGAACTGGAGAGACTTTCCTTTTGCTTTACTGAGGGTTGGACTAAGCCCTAAAGTGCTCTGTCTGAAGTACACTGGTAACGTAGCTTTGCTTTAAAACTGCTTGAGCTCAGGGAAGGGGCAGCGTCAGCTCCAGGTAACTGAATGTGTGTCTCTTAGGGAGTGATTTTATTTATTTATAGGATTTTTTTAAGCCACTGCCCTGAGCGTTTCTTCACAATAAGCAGAACTCGCGGCCTGAGGAGCTGAACTGCTGTTAGAGTTTGTGCTGCTTGTTACACTAACTAATACTACTCAGTATAGCTGTTGCAGTGACTTCACCAAATCACAACTGGACGATGGAATAAATTCTTAGAAATTAAGTTTGTTTAAGAAGATACTAGAAAAGATTTTAAGACTTGGTGCAAGGATGGTACCTTCAGTTCAGGGTAAGTGGCCCTGTAAATTCACCTGTCATGGTGGTGGTCACTTACAGAAATACCATGCTGCTGGCAACCTGCACCAGTATTGATACCAGCACAGTCCCCTCTACTTTTGTAAGGACCATAGTCTGATCTCAAAGGCAGTAATTTAAAATAAATAAAATTCCTCAAGCAGGTTGCTCAAGTGATTATAGTGATTGACCCTCAGCAGCCCGCTGTAGAGATCATGGGGTGAATACAGAATTTCAGTGGCGTATTGTGACCATTAGGAAGAACTGTTTGAGTACTAGAAGAAGTAGTGTGCTTTTTAGAAAAATTACACTCTTCTATTAATTAAATTCCTTAATTATTCCCAAAGATGGTTTCCAAGCAGCATTTTCAAAACCATTACACACTTGGAGACAGCTACCTTTAGCAGAGTGGCTTTCCTAGGGCGGCCCACTGAGCAGATGGCAAAGCCAAGTTTAGAGCTCAGTTCTTTGGTTCCAAATTGCCTCAGCTAGCACTAGGTCTTGTACTGCTGCCATGCTTTCCAAGTTCAGTGCGTACATCCTGGTGCCTGTTAAAATTTTATCCGACAATGTCAGAACAAGATAGACTAAATTTCTTAGCGGTACGTATCTTGTATGCTGGTTTTCGGAATTGGTAGTCTTCCACCCCCAACTCCCCTTATTTAAATCTCCCCGTGATACCAGCTTTAGCAATGTGCTGTCAAAGCTGAAATTGAGCTCTTCTGATCCTTTTTTTCTAACAGTATTAAGATAGCTCTGCCTCCAAGAAACTTGTTATGACTGAAGTGCACCAGTATTTAGAAATTCTGGGGAATTAGTTACTGTCTGTTGGCTCTTGTTGTGCCACTGGACTTCTCTGACAGGAGTGTGCCTCGGGCTTCTTGACAGCCTCTTTGGGTGCTTGTACACATCCCCGCTGACTCTCCTCCAGCGTGAGCTCTCCCAGCTCGCTCAGCCTTTCCTCATATGAGGCACTCCAGTCCCTTAGTCATCTTAGTGGCCCTTCACCAGCCTCTCCCCAGTAGCTCCATCTCTCGTACTAGGGAGCCCACCGCTGGACCCGGCACCCCAGGTGTGTCTCAGCAGAGCTGAAGAGAGGGAAGTGATCACCCCCTCAGCCTGCTGGCAGCGCTCTGCCTAATTCAGGCCAGGATGCTGGTGATCTTCTTTGCTACAAGGGCACATTTCTGGTTCCTTTTCAACTTGGTGGCCACTGGGACCCCAAGGACTTTGCCTGCAGGACCCGCATTCCAGCGGGCTGGCCCCCGGTACATACTGGTGCCCGGGCTTATTCCTCCCTTGGTGCAGGACTTTGCAGTTCCCCTTGTTGAACTTTGTGAGATTCTTCTCCACTCGTTTCTCCAGCCTGTCCGGGTCCCTCGGGATGGCACCACAAGCTTATTGGCGTATCAGCCGCTCCTCCCAGCTTTGTATAATTTCCAAACTGGCGGGGGGTGTGCTCCGCTCCATCGTTAAGGTCATTAACGAAGATGTTAAAAGAGTATTGGCCCCAGTGTCAACCGCTGGGGGAAACCACTAGTGACTGGGCTCCAGGTGGACTTTGTGCTAGCGACCACGGCCCTCTGAGCCTGGCTGTTCAGCCAGCTCGCTGTGCTGTTATCTGCCCCACGCGTTGTCAGTTTGAGGGTGTTACGGCTTTTAACGCCATCTCCCGTATTAAAGTCGTGGTCGGCTGCATCAGCTGCTCTTGCCTCACCTCCATCAAGCCTGTTGAAGTTTTTCAGCTTGGCTAATGATTATTTGCTTGAAGGAAAGTCACAGTGGTCTAGTGCTGGTTCTTAGGAAAGCCTAGTTTGAAATGATGGTATGAAGAGATAAAGAAGCCTCTCGTTATGCCTTGAGTCTCCTTCACGGGACTAGGTTTTCTGCGATTGAAAAGCTCTTCCTTTTGGGTTTTAAGTTGCACTGACTTGGTGCCACGTGGGTGCCTTAACATTTCAAAAATAATTTTGGGGATGAAAAACCTTACCTGTGTTTGCTAACATTACAGTGTTTCCTTACAATGTTGTTTTTAAGTTCTGGGTTAAGATTAGCTTCCTCCAGCGCTAACATTTCCTTTGATTTCTTGCAGATAATTCAGCTTCTGGGCCAACAGTTATAGAAAATGGTGACCATGGAATAGAGGATCACCGCACAGGTATGTGTTTAATGTCTGAAGGAAACATGTCGACTTCTTTATTTGTTATTGGAGCAGTAAAACTTTGTTGTGACCAAATACATCTTCTTTTTGAGTCTTACTTCTTCATAGGGGGTTAATTTTGTTTTAAATGATCTTTCTAAAGAGTTTGAGACAAAATAGAGCTTCATTCTCTTTGGGTTTGAAATTGCTTATGTGCATAAAGCCTCATCCTGAAGACCTTACGTGCTTTATCCATGGTCAGTGTTGGGAAGGCAACATCTAGGGTGCTGATAGCTAAATGATTTTCCAGTGACTCTCTAATATTCATAGCTGAACTCTGCCCTAACCTGCGAGAATGACTTCTCCTGTTCCCCATGAGACAGACAGCGATGTTTCCTCTCCGAGTACACCATCCTTTGATGCAGTTTTTTCTTTCACTAATTCTTAGCTGCTACTGAAATTACCCTGTCTTGTTTATTCTGCAGCTTCTCCTTCCACCTCAAACTACCCTTCTGTAAATATCTCCTAATATTTGCTTTAGCAGTGTCAAAGCTGAAGTTGAGGTCTTCTGAACCTCCTTTCATACAGCATTAGGCTAGCTTTGGCTACAAGAAACTTGTCATGACTTAAGTGGACCAATATTTCAAACTTGTGAGAAATCTGGGAAATAACTGATCTTTCCAATCAGCCTAAAATATGTTGAAGTTAGTCTTCTTTCAGCATTTCCATTTAATGATAAACACCAGTTCCCTCTTATGAGACTTTCTTACTCTGAATGGGGTTTCCTACCAAAGTCCAGCTGAACTGTTAAGGATGAGCAGCACCAGCTCTGCGACTGTGTGCCTGAGCCCGTGGATCGTTTCCTTTCGGGGTGAGGAGGGAGTGGACTTTGGCAGGCCATACCTCTGTTTTCTTGAGGATAAAATAGTCAGAAGGGGATTGCCATCCTGGCATTAGCAAGAGCTATTTATTTGGTCTCCCTTTTCATGATCTTCAGCTCAGCCTTAGCAGTACAGATCATTGGTGAGATTGATTGGATGTTCCCAGTGTTAGCATCTGCTAGTCCATAGGTGCAGCCCCACGAAAAAAAAAAATCCAGGAGATAATGCTGAATGTATGGGAGTGGAAGACAGGGATGAATTAAAACACTTTTTTTTGCCATAAATGAGTATAGAGTTGTGAACAAGTTTCATGTTCTTATCGAGGATGGGAATATAAAATTTGATCTTTGTACTTAATTTACTATGGTCAATCTGGTCAAAAAGAAGCTGTGCATCTTTCTTAATTTCAGTGTTATACTAAATTATAAAGACTTCTGAACCTTTCTAAGGATGCTTCTTCTCTCTTTTTTAATACATATAACTAAAAGGAGATAGAGATAAAATCAGATTTATGATACTCCAGGTATGACTAATTAAATACACTGGGATTTTTTTAATTGAATTTCTGAATTGTGTTTAAAAATTTTTTTATCTACTTAATACTAGCTTTCTGGAGGTTTAACTCTTCACGCACTAAATGCTGACAACATTGATCAAAGATACTTTTATGTGTCTGAAGCTTTTTGATTTATTAATACGCTCCATCTTTGTCAGGTAGAGTTGGATTTTTTTTTTTTTTTTCTTGTTAAAGACTGTCTAAAAGTGACATCAAAGTGGTAGAAACAGCATGTCAAAGGATGAAGAGTCATAGGCATCAAGTTAATTAGGTTTTCCAGAATAACAGAGATTTATACAACACAACTACTTCATGAACTCTTTCCCCCTACCCCCTTCTCTAGGGAATACTTGAAATATCCATGCTATTACATTTGAGAATAAGGGAGAAATGCTAATTTTCGATCAGATAGTGGAGGGATTTTTCAGAGTTGAAGAGCAGTTGATGCTGCAGAAATACAGGCAAGTTGTTCCAGACCAGGTGACAGACTTCAGTAGGGCCTGATTCTGTATTTAATAGGTGGTGCTGCCTAAAGCCTTTTGTCCCTGGCCCTAAGCCACCTTCAGCTTTTGGCTGGTTTATTTGTTTTCAGCTGAATCTATTCCCTGATCTGTCTGTTTTTAAAGCCAAAATGATTCGTCTGGATGCGCAGTGTGGGCCCAGCGCAGAGGTGGGAAACAGAGTAGCTGAGAGAGGAATAAGGAAGGTGATGCTCTAGGAAAGCAGCTTTTAGCTACAAAGAGCAGTGCTAAGAGCTACAGAGAGAGCTTTTAAAAGCAGGGCTGTGTTTGAGTTGGATTCTGAAACGGACTTCCAGGAAAGTACTGGGGAAAGACATAGTTGAGCTATTTGAAAATACAAACGTCTGCTTATCTCTCCAATCTAGATCACAGGAAGCATTGCTACGTGGTTTTTTTTTTACCTATCAAATGAAATGTTCTAGTGCATGCAACATTATCTCCAGACATCTGGTGTATGTGTATGCAGAGGTTGGAATTAGTCAGGACTGAAATCTTAGTGCTGGTTTGGCAGCCTGTAGTGCTTCCTGACCAGATGCCCAGCTCCGAAATACCGTTAATGTAGTAAATGGCATAAATCCAAACCTAATGTAACTCGGGGGCGAAACCCTATATTAACTGTTGAATTATTTTTCATTATAACAGTGATGTATTTAAAGCATTGGTGCAGGGATGTGTATAGTTCAGTATTCCAGAATGTAAAGGGAAAACGTGAACGGTTGACTTTACGTTGGCTGTTTCCTTGAGGGTCCAACCCCGTGGCTGGGAGCCCTCTGCAAAACAAAGGCGTTTGCTTTCCCCGACAGGCAGAGACGGGCAGTTTCTCTGAAGGGTTCGGCTCTCGGCGGTGCTGAGCACGCCGTAGCAATTGCTTATTTGGTGTGTGGAGTTTTGTTTTTTCGAGAAGGAGAGCTGCAAGACCGGGAGCTCTGGCTTGGGTACTCAGCTCATAGACTGCAACTCTCTCTATGAAATCTGTTCTTCCTTATAAGGATAAATAGAAGAGCGGTTGGTGCAGCGCTGGGAGGGAAGCCGCGCACATCTGGTGCAAGGCAAGTGAACCAGCGAGGGTGTGGGGCCATTGTTAATAGCTTACAGTCACTGATGGCGTGCAGGTACTGAGTGGGGGAACTAGCTGCTGACTTTCACGATGCAAAGGTCAGGGGGTGCTTAGGAAAACTCTAACCGAAGGTTTAAACTAAAAGAATTTATGCGTAATTTTCAAACAGTGCAACGTTTGCAACTCCTTATTGCAGGATATTTGCCTAGAGTTCAAAGGAATTGTATATTTTAAAAAAGACAAATTTCTGGAAAGAAATCCATCAAGGATGATCATATGGTTTAATCTGGATCCCTCTTGTTCCAAGATCCTGGGCGTTACCTTGCTGGAAGCTGAGAAGTGACCTGGGGAAGTATCGTTATTCGGTGTCCATACTTTCCCTAGCAGGACTTCCTCTCCAGCCAGCCTGCTGCTTGTTCTGTCATCTGAGATTGGGTCACAGAAATCCTTTGTCACAGTTTTCAGTGCAAATTGTGCTTTTAAGCAGCATCCTGAGCTGCTGCTCTCTTGATAGCGATTTGTCACTAATCTTGATTTATCACAGCTAATTTTTGCCCGTGGCACAATGTCATGCCATAGCATGGCTAGCAATATATTTTCAGACACTTTGAAAAGCAAAATTCCATGTGTCTCTAATCTGGCTTTTGGCAAATCTCCTGGCTGCACTAAATGAAGTATTGCTTGTTGTGCAGTGTGCTACCTGAATGTTCATGTTTACTAATGACTTGCGCTTTTTTGCCCCTTTCCCCATCCCGTTTCCCTCTCCTACTTCTTCTCCTCTCTTCTATTTTCTCCTCCTAGAAGCCTAGACTGTCTCCTAACACTGGGGCTGCCACTGATACAAGACCAGTGTACTTTTCTACCTGCCATTACACTTCTAAAATCTTCAGCATTTTACAGAGCTCTTGCTTTACATCCTTGGACTTTGCGCGTAGAAGAAACCAAAGGGTAGCTGTGCTGGCGGCGATCAGCCCTTCTCCTCCTCCCTCTCTGCTCTGCAGTGCTTGTTGAAACCTTCCTTCCTTTGTGTAAGCACAAACAAATGTGCATGATGGTTTTTAACTGCACTATTTCAGCACTCCCACTGTTTTAAAATCACAACTACAGCTCCATTTTTAGTTCAACCGCTTTTAAATTTAATTTATGTCCTTTTTCATGGGTGCTTAATAACAGAAGGCTTAATATTAAATTTAAAGTTGTGCTTTCATAGCGGATGGGTCCACCATGACTGCAGCTCCTTTCCCTTCTCCCTGTGCTCACCACAGCCTTTTAGAAGAATCTTGAGTTTTACCTGCCTTTATCCTTGCTGATTTGAAACCTTCTCAATTGAGGTTTTTACCTTTAATGATATTGTCTTCTTCAAAACAGGTGTTTTCACATCATAGCACTTGTTGTACAGCCTTGAGAAACAGAGTAGGAAAAACCATGTTTACTGAGGTACAGGCAGATTGTCTCTGGTTTGTGAGGGGTGGATTAGGGGGTTCAAGCACTTGCCTCCAACTGGGAGTAGAAAGGGAAACTACCGACCCCAAATTCCTGCCTCAGCAAGCTGCTTTGCTGTCGTCCTGCTTCCTGCAAGCCGTGGAAGTAAGAAAGAAAATTGCCTTTCTTTAACTTCATACCTCTAGCTTCGTTTTGGTAATGGCAGCCTTGGATGAAATGCTACCTGCCATGAAAAATAATCTGTCCCTTCTAAAACCGAGAGAAACAGAAGATCTAGGACTAAATTGTTAAATCTGTACTGCAATAGTTAGGACAGTTTCCAGCAACAACAGAAGGAATGAGCCCGTTTTAACCTTAAACGGAGGTACAAGAAGTCAGCAAGTCCCTTGCAGTTCCTGCTGTCTTCATAAAGCTGCAAAGCTTTCCAAACACAAAAGTGTTAGTTACTGCCATTGAACAGATAACATGCAAAAGAAGGAAATGATTCAGAGAGTCTACTTAGTATTTTACATGAGGCGAGCTCAGCCTGGGTTTTTGTAGACCAGTGAATGCTTTCTTTG